TCTCTCTCTCTCTCTCTCTCTCTCTATCTATCTATCTATCTATCTATCTATCTATCTATCTATCTATCTATCTATCTATCTATCTACTCTATCTATCTATCTATCTATCTCCCCCCCCCCCCATCTATCTATCTATCTATCTATTTATCTGTCTGTCTATCTATCTCCAGCTATGAAGGGGAATGCCACAGTGGAAAGGTCAAGTTGTCTCTTACTATATTCACTGCGGCTATAGATAAGAACATTAAAATTTTCTCCCACAATAAGAAAGCATGTGCGAAATATTTTATCATGTCTATATATTAAGACCCATGGAAAGATATGATTTATATCCATAGAGAAAATAAAGCACTTCCAGGAGACTGGGAGCTACAAGCATAAGTTTCTACCCCTTAGACGCAAGTTGGCATATACAAATAAGAATATTACCTTCCAGGAGACGGGGAGTTACAAAGATCTTTCTCCTGAATACATATAGTTTTATATAAATAAGAAAACACACACATGCACGCACACAACACAATATCAGTGGCACTAAGTATCATATTTAAGGAGTCACTGGAGTCGGGGGAGATTTCAAGATGCTGGAAACAAGCAAATGTGATACCTATCTTCAAAAAGGGAAGGAGGGATACGGCTCTGAACTATAGACCAGTTTCCTTGACCAGCATAGTTTGCAAACTTATGGAGAAACTACTAAGGAAACATATCTCTCTTCACTTGGAATCCTTCAACTTTTTGTCAGTGAGGCAACATGGCTTCAGAGAAGGAAGATCAACAGTAACAAACTTATTAGAATTTTATGATGAGGTAAGCCAAATCTTACAGGAAAGAGAGGGCTGGGCAGATTGCATATTCCTAGACTTCCAGAAAGCGTTTGACACTGTTCCACATGGGAGACTTATTAGGAAGCTGCAATCAATGGCTAGAATAGGTGGAAATGTCTTGGAATGGATAAAAACTTACTTAGAAGGAAGGGAACAGAGGGTTAGAGTAAGACACTCAGTGTCTGAATGGAGAAGAGTTAGTAGTGGAGTTCCACAGGGTTCAGTTTTAGGGCCACTTTTGTTCCTTGTATATGTAAATGACCTACCAGAGTCTGTAAATTCATTCATGAATATGTTTGCAGATGATGCAAAGATTGTGAAGAAAGTAAAAAACGAGAACAATGGTAGAGAACTTCAGGAGGATCTAAATAATCTGCATGAGTGGTCAGAAAAGTGGCTAATGAAATTCAATACCTCAAAATGTAAGGTAATGAGAATGGGTACAAGTGCAAGAAGGCCCAAGCTTGACTACTCGGTGGCTGGAGTACAACTTCAAGAGACAGAAAATGAGAGAGATCTAGGAGTAAACATACTGGCAGATTTGTCTCCAGAAATACATATAAATGGCGTAGTAAGGGCAGCATATGCATTCTTATCAAATGTAAGGGTAGCCTTCAGGCACATGGACAAGGAAATGTTCAGAAATATTTATGTAACCTATGTGAGGCCAAAACTCGAATATGCAGCCCCCTTTTGGAATCCGCACTTGAAAAAGCACATAGCTAAGCTTGAAAAAGTTCAAAGACATGCCACGAAACTGGTGCCAGAAATATGCAATCTCGGTTATGATGAGAGGCTGAGGGAATTAGACTTGCCATCACTCGAAGCTAGAAGAGTAAGGGGGGATATGGTGACAGTCTTTAAATTCCTTCATGGTTATGATAGAGTGGATAGGGATCGATATTTCGATATGGCTGGCTCTAGAACTAGAGGTCATAGTTTGAAGCTTGGTAAGAAAACTTGTTTGCAGGATGTAAGGAAATACTTTTTCAGTGTAAGAGTAGTTGATAATTGGAATTGGCTAAGCGAGGAGGTAGTTAATGCTATCTCAATCCATAGTTTTAAGGACAGGTACGATAAGTATCACTAAGTCTAAAAATGGAACCGATCAGGAGACGGGAAGATACGAGCTTTGGGCTCTTTCCCGTAAACACAATTAGGTAATCACAATTAGGTAATCACACATACACGTACACACGTAAAGGCGCACCTGTATGTGTGTAGATATTAAACATGTTATTCTCTAAGGCTATGAAACGCAATTATTCTAAGTGAGATTACTTTTAAATCCATTTAATCTTGTGTTTCGGATCTCTTTCAAGCGCTGTGGATATGACAGGTTACAAAGAGAATTGAGCACAACTCTAATTGATATTACGCGCTAATGTTAATTAGAGTAGAGCTTATAGAGTGATACATCTCACTAAAATAATATATATATATATATATATATATATATATATATATATATATTATATTTCATTGCTTTGCTATACTGGGTAATTAATTATTTAAACATTTATGTCCAGGGCCCGATTTATAGGGGGGAAAGGGGGCAATTGCTCCGGGTCCCCTTGCCGGAAGGGTCCCCCAGACTAAGGTGTCGCTTGTTAAAAGAAAATGTAATGTTCCTGTTTTACGTCACGGACTCCCTTTTCTACCAAGGGCTAGGACGGTTGCCTTCTTGCGAAGGACTTGTTTTGGCAGATGTAATCCTTGCCCTGAGTGCATGCCCTTGCTAACCTCAGACCGTGACGGGGCGCGAACACTCGACCTGACGCCCCAGAGTCGCGGACGCTACCGCTTGAGCCACGGTGACTACTTTAAAGGAAAATTTAATAATTATGAAATTAAGACAGGGCGCTAGAGCATCAGAAGTAAGAAAGACGGCTAGCCCTGGGCTCTCCCCTCTCTGGGCGGTGTCCCCCTTCTTTTGAAATACATTATAAATTGGTAACTGTAACATGTAAACAAAAAATCACCAAAAAGTGTAACTCTAAAAGTTATAACCATGAATGGATTTATTAATACCATGATGATGCCTAAAATGAAGGTAAGATAGCTGATATATAATTAACAAGTGATATATAATTAACATTACGCGGACTTTGTTGATGTTTTACTGGCATCCGAAGTCGACACTGTAGTCCGAACGTAAGTATTTTCTCTACGTGATTGAGGATGAGTGCGAAAATCACGTCTGCTACACGTCTGGTTGCCCAAGCGCTCCGGAGACCTGACCTCTGATAAAGTTACTCTGTGGACTGCAGGTAAGTTTAATATTTATAAATTTTCCTTTTCTTATACTGTAGTCTGTTTATGGTATTGGTAATTTAGTATAATTTTTATTAATTTATTAACAAGTCAGGAAACTCCTAACTTAGCGTCTGTCTTTACAAGGCCATGATAATCAGTTTCTTCAATACACGTGTATGGGGGTACTTTGTAAGTGGGATTCTGGGTATGTGGAGAATTGGAATGTACTTTTGTTGGTAACGCTATGCCAAACTTCGGGCTTATCAGTCATAAGAACGGATGAGTGTTAAATAAGTATGCAAGATTGAACTGAGCAAGGGTAGTGCAGAGAGTAGGCAGCTTCTGTCGAGGTTTTTCTTGCCGATAGATTTCCAGCATTTTATGAAACCTTCAGAATATTCATGAGCATTTTTTTTTTTTTTATGATTGTGACACCAGGACAGGCAAGAAAATAAAATAAATAAATAAATAAATCTGCCCTCATCGCGCCTGGGCACGAAGAAACAAAGAGTAAAGAGAAACAGATATGGGAAGTGTTGTGACTTGTCAGATGTGAGGGGATAATAAGACATGTGTAACAACTATCCAATAATATTCGGTGTTGATGTAGGCATAGAAAAAAGAACCGTAACTGATGGAAGACTTAACATCAAACTGTCCTGGACAGTCCTAATTCTATTCAAAAGACCTTTTTGATCACTGGTCGTCCTGGAGAAAGGTCACTTAGCAACTTGGCACGGATCAAGAATTATCTGAGACCCACGAAAGACTTAAGTGGTCTTTTCCTACTGGAAGTCGAGAGCAGTTTTATCAAAATGATAGTTTGAATTTTTTCTTATGCCAAGTATAGAAAGAAAAACTTTATGTAGATACTGTAGTGGGGTACAAGAATGTAATGCATGATTTGCCAGTTCTAACTTGCCTATGCAATGTGTGGTTTGTAAAATTGATGATGTACCAGAGACTGTAGAAATTATGCGAGAAATTGACTTATATCAGTCTAATGACTTCAAAAGCGTTATTGCCAAGATCATATATTATGCATTTTGGTTGATCTATATTAATTTTCAATTTTTATTGCAGATCGTGAATAGAAACCGGGAAAACCAAACTTTTTTTGTTTGGCTCGGCTGGTATACAGCAAAATTAATAAGAAATAAACTTAGCAGTGGTGTACATAGTTTAGATAAATAAAGGCACCACTACATTTAATCTCATTGTCGTATGACTTCCTGACCGGAAACGGTCGGTCGAGGGCACGGATATTTTATTACAATGTTTGTAGAAAGTGCCAAGGAAATATATGACCGGAACCGTGAGACTTATGGACCTGGCATCGAGAAGGGCGAGAAAGGACAGGAAGTTAGCCATTTCCTAAACCACAACATACATAAACTTGTGTTTCGTACGAAGGAACCTGCCCAGGAGAAATGCCCAATAACTTCTCCCCGGAAGTAGGTGGGATTCCACTTTGAACCTGGCGCTGATTTGCTAGGATTAGTTCTGACTGATTTCATTGGAGAATTGGATGTTAAGCCACGCCCTGCCCCTGGGGGTATTTAAAGAGCCACCCAGGGCAGAGACACTTAGTTAGCAGTTTGCCAGGGGCACGAATAGATCCTAGTTTGTGAAGTCATAGGGTGGGGGCCATTGGGCCATTGGGCCATTGGGCCATTGGGCCATTGGGCCATTGGGCCATTGGGCCATTGGGCCATTTGAGGCGTCATCGGTTGTGTTGTACTCTAGAATAAATATAAGTAAAGGATTCACTGCGTGTCCATTCTTACCTCGTACCCTTCAGGCACTAGCATTTATTAACTTGTGACCACGCTACCAAAATAATTAAAGTAACCCAGTCATCTTATAAAGTGTGAGTTCAAGTGGAAGTCCAAAACTCATACGTCAGTGGTGGCCTACGGCGGAATAGCTAAAAGCCATACGTCAGTGGTGGCAGCGGTGGGATTCGAACCCACGCCTCCAGTCTCTCAGGAGGCGTGGGTTCGAATCCCACCGCTGCCACCACTGACGTATGGCTTTTAGCTATTCCGCCGTAGGCCACCACTGACGTATGAGTTTTGGACTTCCACTTGAACTCACACTTTATAAGATGACTGGGTTACTTTAATTATTTTGGTAGCGTGGTCACAAGTTAATAAATGCTAGTGCCTGAAGGGTACGAGGTAAGAATGGACACGCAGTGAATCCTTTACTTATATTTATTCTAGAGTACAACACAACCGATGACGCCTCAAATGGCCCAATGGCCCAATGGCCCAATGGCCCAATGGCCCAATGGCCCAATGGCCCAATGGCCCAATGGCCCCCACCCTATGACTTCACAAACTAGGATCTATTCGTGCCCCTGGCAAACTGCTAACTAAGTGTCTCTGCCCTGGGTGGCTCTTTAAATACCCCCAGGGGCAGGGCGTGGCTTAACATCCAATTCTCCAATGAAATCAGTCAGAACTAATCCTAGCAAATCAGCGCCAGGTTCAAAGTGGAATCCCACCTACTTCCGGGGAGAAGTTATTGGGCATTTCTCCTGGGCAGGTTCCTTCGTACGAAACACAAGTTTATGTATGTTGTGGTTTAGGAAATGGCTAACTTCCTGTCCTTTCTCGCCCTTCTCGATGCCAGGTCCATAAGTCTCACGGTTCCGGTCATATATTTCCTTGGCACTTTCTACAAACATTGTAATAAAATATCCGTGCCCTCGACCGACCGTTTGACTTCCTGACCGGAAACGGTCGGTCGAGGGCACGGATATTTTATTACAATGTTTGTAGAAAGTGCCAAGGAAATATATGACCGGAACCGTGAGACTTATGGACCTGGCATCGAGAAGGGCGAGAAAGGACAGGAAGTTAGCCATTTCCTAAAATATTTTTGCCACATGTCGCAACTGTTTAGAGAATAGATAAAACTCCCATTGACAAGTTGTGGAGCCAGCAAGTTGCCACTTATGCTATACATATATACATTGATTACGACAGCAGGAATTTGAATGTTAAAGGAGACTGTGTTAGAATAAGCATCACTATGAAAAAAATAAGTATAGAACTCTGTTCTTACTTCTGAATGCCAGTCTCCATTGTATATATATTGATATTTTTGATTTAGTATATTTATTTTTATTGTTTATTATTCTTATTTTTAGATCATGATTATTAGTAATGTTATTATGTTGACTGATATTGTTGCTATCTCTCAATGGCCTGTTGCTAATTATTATTTTTGAAATGAAATCAGCAGTAACTTGATGATTTGTATCTTTTATCTGAATTCATACTTGATATTACTGTAGCCACCGCTAATAAGAATGTTTCTTTAGTGGCTTTTCTGAGCATTTAATGATTATTCTTTTTGACATTTATAGTAGAGTAATGCTATGTAGCAGTTGCTAAGTCCTAAGTATCTTGGAATAATAATCTAGTTGTGTAGACACATACCTTCCCTTACCACCCTATTCCTAGGCAGCCCCGACCTGCAAGTTCTAAAAGTCTTTAGATTTTGTCCGTCAGACAAGTCCCTACTGCCCATTGAATAGAGGTTGCAATCACTTGCAGTTGCAGGGGAGGCAAAGTATAGCCTCGATTACCAACGTGTGGCCAATGTTGGTACCCTGAAGTCATAGGGAACCTTCCTTGTACTGTAGTAGTGACAGAGGTTCAAACTTTCATCCCGCATTCTACTTCGAAGGTACGTGTGAGAGGACCGTACAGAACTAGTAACGCTGTGACGCTGCAGGTCTCCTGCGTGGGAGGTCTTAGTCAAGATCGGTCGAGGGCAGGACGAGCAAGCCAGGCTGGAAGGATTCGCGAGGTGTGGGGCCCCTTCCTGGTCCTTTTTGTTGTGCCCAACCGAGAAACAGGGTGATGGCAACAAACCTGGGCCTGTAGCGGGGACGGGCGGGGGATGTGAAAGCGTAAGAGTCCGCCGTGAGAGACCGGGGAATCGCACCTAGCAAGAATTCATGAGCAAGGGACAGAAAACGAAAGTCGTCCTAGACAGAAAACGAAAGTCGTCCTAGACAGAAAACGAAAGTCGTCCTAGACAGAAAACGAAAGTCGTCCGAGACAGAGAAATTTAAAAGTCGTCCTAAGACAGGGAGAGGACAGTCCTAAAAGAATAAAAATTTTAAAACTACTTTAAAAAACCCAGGTAATCTTGATGAAACCCCAGAAACAAGGAGATCCCCGTACGAGTCATAACGGTAGTAAAAAGAGAGGAAAAGAAACGCAGAAATATTTTAAAATATTTTAAATAATACCTTTAAAAGCCACGTAAATGAGAAAGAAAAATGATCCCTATACATGTCCGAACTTTAGTGAAAAGAGAAAGAAGGGTATTTTAAAAAAAAAAAAAGAAAAAAAAGGGGGGAGACAAAATATTTTTATTTTTATGTTTATTTTTTTGTTTTGCTAGCTTTAAGAAAATTTTAAGCGCAAACTCAGAGTCTCCCTTAAATATAGTGTTGAGTAAGTGCCATTGATAAAGTGTAAGATGAGAACTAAGACTAATAAGTTATTTTCTGCTTAAATAATATTAGTGTTTTGTTTTAGCATTCTTATTATTTGAATTATGATTTAATCCTTAGATTCATTGAGTTTTTATGTTAAATGGTCTCTGAATAGTAATTGCATATAAAAACCGATAAATATTTTGACTTTACACACAGTCAAACATGTTTTGTTTCAGGAGTAGTTTTTAAGGCTTAATTTTAAGACAAATCAATGCCCCTAATAATGATAGGAATAGAACTTATGACGGTAGGGTCTCTTATAGAAATTACTGTTGATGTTATAGTCTATTGCATTTTACCTGTTTATACATGCTAATACTCTACTTAATTGTTTGCTAATGTTCTAAATGAGTCATAATCCTACTGTAATTAACTCAATTTTGCCTTTTAAAACGAGAGAAGTAGATAAATTAATGTTTTGATTTAAACTGACCTTTTGATCCTAATTAATGTTTAATATTAGTTTCACACTGGAATTATGCTGTTTAAATATAAGAATATGTTTGTATTTCAGATTTCCAACAAGGACATAGACCCTGCATGCTCTAGTTGTCTGTAAAGGTACTCTCTATATGTTATGTTTGTGTAATTTGTATAGGAATTCTTAGAAAATAGCTTAAATAATTCGGCCCCATTTCTATTGTAAACTAATGTTAGCTAGGATATGTCCAAGAGCTCCCGGAAAACTAGTCCATGCTTCGACTGAAATAAGAGATATTTCAGTTTTGGTTGGGAGGGATGTCGTATGACTTCCTGACCGGAAACGGTCGGTCGAGGGCACGGATATTTTATTACAATGTTTGTAGAAAGTGCCAAGGAAATATATGACCGGAACCGTGAGACTTATGGACCTGGCATCGAGAAGGGCGAGAAAGGACAGGAAGTTAGCCATTTCCTAAACCACAACATACATAAACTTGTGTTTCGTACGAAGGAACCTGCCCAGGAGAAATGCCCAATAACTTCTCCCCGGAAGTAGGTGGGATTCCACTTTGAACCTGGCGCTGATTTGCTAGGATTAGTTCTGACTGATTTCATTGGAGAATTGGATGTTAAGCCACGCCCTGCCCCTGGGGGTATTTAAAGAGCCACCCAGGGCAGAGACACTTAGTTAGCAGTTTGCCAGGGGCACGAATAGATCCTAGTTTGTGAAGTCATAGGGTGGGGGCCATTGGGCCATTGGGCCATTGGGCCATTGGGCCATTGGGCCATTGGGCCATTTGAGGCGTCATCGGTTGTGTTGTACTCTAGAATAAATATAAGTAAAGGATTCACTGCGTGTCCATTCTTACCTCGTACCCTTCAGGCACTAGCATTTATTAACTTGTGACCACGCTACCAAAATAATTAAAGTAACCCAGTCATCTTATAAAGTGTGAGTTCAAGTGGAAGTCCAAAACTCATACGTCAGTGGTGGCCTACGGCGGAATAGCTAAAAGCCATACGTCATCATCACCAGTGCCATGTGGCCAACATTGCAAACTAGAAATTGTAGTCAAAGTTATTCTTACAGTCACTTAGACTGAGAAGAATAAAATCAAACTTCTTTATTTTAACCTAACATTATTTTTTCTAAAAACAAAAAATATGCGGATTATCGTTCATTTATTTATTTATTTATTTATTTATTTATTCATTTATTTATTTATTTTTCATGTAAATTGCTTCCTATGTTGAGGGGTCCCAATAACCAGAAGTGCCCGTGGCCCCCCAAGGTGTAAACCTGGCCCTGAGCATGTCGTCTGAACCTGTCTTGTTCTAGTGAAAAACATCTTCCAATATAATTATAATCATAATTTCTCACTCCCTTTAAGTTTTTTTTTTTTTACCAAAACACCTATCCATCCAGCGTGACTTCTTACTTAAAAGACAGTGATTGTTTTTGTCCTACTGTGCTTGCGTTTCATGACTGTTATCTTATTAATGACAGTGCTTACTGTTTTGATAATGGTAATGTTATCTTTAATCTTTGATGTTTCTTCTCCACTATTGTATGTTTACATATTGATGGGATATTTTCGGTAGAATATCCAGAGTACTGTAAGTACGAAGTATATCAGCCAGAAAGTATGAAATATAGCACTATTATTATTATTATTATTATTATTATTATTATTATTATTATTATTATTATTATTATTATTAATATTATTATTATTATTATTATCATCATCATTATAATTATATTATTATTATTATTATTTTTATTATTATTTTATTATTATTATTATTATTATTATTATTATTATTATTATTATTATTATTATTATTATTATTATTATTATTATTATTATTACTAGCAGCAGCAGCAGCGAGTTCATCTTGAAGTTCGGGTTTTCGAATTTTTTTTGCAAGTTCAACATACTCGCTGGACTGAGCGCTGTCTTGTCACCCAATGTAAACAAAACAAATTTTCAAGATTTCGTATTAGTTTTTCTGCGTTTTACAGTGATCTTACCTCGTAAATTTCGTTATTTATGAACATATTTACTATATT